TGTTTAGCTGTTTGTGGCTTGTTTAGTTGTTTGAGGCTCGTTTATGTTTGCGGTGCATTTAGTTGTTTGTTGTGTGCTTAGTTGTTTGCAGCTTGTTTAGCTGTTTGCTGCTCATGTAGCTGTTTGCTGCTCATGTAGCTGTTTGCGGCGTGTTCATCTGTTTACGGCTTGTTGTTTGCAGCATTTAGCTTTTTGTGTTGTGTTTAGCTGTTTGTAGCTTGTTTACCTGTTTGCGGCTCATTTAGCTGTTTGTGATGTATATAGCTGTTTCCAGCCCATTTCACTGTTTACTACATTTACCTGTTTGCGGTGTGTTTTGCTGCTTGTTTAGCTGTTTGCAGCATGTTCAGCTGTTTGCAGTGCATTTAGCTGTTTGCGACTCATTTAGCTGTATTGGGCATATTTAGCTGTTTGCAGTGTGTTTAGCTGTTTGTGGCTCATTTAGCTGTTTGTGGTGTGTGTAGCTGTTTCCAGCCCATTTCGCTGTTTACTAGATTTAGCTGTTTGCAGTGTGTTTAACTGTTTGTGGCATGTTTAGCTGTTTGCAGTGTCTTTGGCTGTTTGCAGTGTCTTTGGCTGTTTGCAGTGTGTTTAACTGTTTGTGGCATGTTTAGCTGTTTGCTGTCTTTAGCTGTTTGTGGCATGTTTAGCTGTTTGCGGAGTGTTTAGCTATTTGTGGTGTGTTTTCAGCTGTCTGGTGCCGTTCTTGTGTACAGACTCTTGATTCTATTTTGTTTTCATATGAACGCGTTCAGTTTTTGTCCCAGCAGCTTCAGAAATGCTGCTGGGATCATTTCACATCATTTATGATCTCATAAAGACAAAGAAATAAAAAATTTGTGGAAAAAAAGTCTCAAACGTCTCGTGTCCTTCATGTGTCTCAAACGTCTCGTGTCCTCTGTGTGTCTCAAACATCTCATGTCCTCCGTGTTTGGACCTTACTGTCTCAAACGTCTCGTGTCCTTCGTGTTTGGACCTTACTGTCTCAAACGTCTCATGTCCTCCGTGTTTGGACCTTACTGTCTCAAATGTCTCGTGTCCCCCGTGTGTCTCAAACGTCTCATGTCCTCCGTGTTTGGACCTTACTGTCTGAAACATCTCGTGTCCTTCATGTTTGGACCTTTAACAGAGTTGTAGCTCATCCGGCTGCAGCTTCGGCCTCAAGTCGTCTTGATTCGGCTCACCTGGACTGGAGGACTGTCAGTGGTTCTTCTCTGAGATGCAGGCTCGGTCCAGTTGGATGGGACTTTGTTGGAGACATGTTCAGGTCTCTCCAGAGACGTGTCACTGGGTCAGGGTTCTGGTTGCTCTCAAACACGTTTCTTTGGTTTGTTTGAATCAGAACTACTTAAAGATTTTACAAAAACTGGAGTTTGTTTTAAAAACAGATTCTGGGACAGATTGGTCCATTAAACCAAACATCCAGGTCCAATTGGACTTTACAGAACCTTTACTCCTCCAGCTGTCAGCACAGGGGTGGAGGACTGATGGTCTGGGGCCAGGTCCTGTCTTTCACTGAGTGGACCAGAACTCCTCTGGACCCCAAAGGTTCTGGAGTCTAGCTGGTCTACAACAGGACGGGTCAGAACAGATCTTTGAACGAGCCAAACGTAAGAAGCTTCCAGGTTTACATGTTCCAGATGAAAAACCAGCTCGTTGGTTCCACAACGTGAAGAAGACAAGCATATCTGAGCAGAAACTGGGCCAGAACTGGAGCCGAGGGGGATTGAAGAACCGTGTCGTGTCACGAAGGATCACGGAGAACCTGGTGGAGGAGAACATGCAGCAGAACGAGCATGAATAATGATGACGTTACGTAACATTTACACGAAGAACGTCCTCTTCTGTGATCCTCCTCAGCTGATCCTCCGAGGAGAGCCAGGATTCTGCAGAACTGCTGAGCAGAACCTGAAACCCATCAGCAGTCTTCTCCAGAGCCCAGCAGGAACTCAGGGCTTCTGTGTAATAATGAGATGGAACTTATTTGGAGAGAATCTGTGAGCTTTATTGTGAAACTCAAGGTTCACATCCTGTTTGAAAGAAGAAACATTCAATGGGAGTTGATGGGAGTTGATGGGAGTTAACCTCTGCCTCAACAAGTCTGCTGTCTCCGGTAATTTACTGAATTTAATACTTAAATGAATAAATATACATATTTAAATATATAAATAAATATAAATATATAAAAAATCAATGTTCCTCTGATATTCAGTTTGTAAGGAAATGATTTGAACGTTCAGACAGCTGATAAATGTCGTGCTTCAGGTGAGGCTTTATTTTCTGCAGGTGTGTCTTTACTTTCAGGAGGACATCTCCCTCTGCTGTCTGATCCAGAGGACGTCTCCCTCTGCTGTCTTTAGTTTCAGGAGGACGTGTCCCTCTGCTGTCTTCAGTTTCAGGAGGACGTGTCCCTCTGCTGTCTTCAGTTTCAGGAGGACGTCTCCCTCTGCTGTCTGATCCAGAGGATGTCTCCCTCTACTGTCTTTAGTTTCAGGAGGACGTTTCCCTCAGTTTCAGGAGGACGTCTCCCTCTGCTGTTTGATCCAGAGGACGTCTCCCTCTGCTGTCTTTAGTTTCAGGAGGACGTCTCCCTCAGCTGTCTTTAGTTTCAGGAGGACGTCTCCCTTTGCTGTCTTTAGTTTCAGGAGGACGTCTCACTCAGTTTCAGGAGGACATCTCCCTATGCTGTCTGATGCAGAGGACGTCTCCCTCTGCTGTCTGATCCAGAGGACGTCTCCCTCTGCTGTCTGATCCATGTGTCTCCAATTGTCCTGCAGGATGCTGCAGAGTCCTGCAGACATTTAAATTATTTATTGGACCGTTTCTCCACAGATCGGGAGGTTCTGTTGGATCGGACCACAGGCTGTCCATCAAATGTTCCTCACATCTTTGATGAAGGTGTTCCACAGTTTTCACAGAACCAACTGGACCCGTGTTCTTCTTCTGTTCTGCAGGAGGAGGAGACCACAGCCCCGTGCTCCGGAGACACCACCAGACTCTTGGAGACAAGAAGGTGAAGGTGATCCGCCTGTCAGAGCTGATCAGTGTCCTCAGACTGCCCCCCAACGCTGAGGCCTGTCCAATGGTCTGTCTCTCTGCTCCTTCATGGTTCTGAGTCTTTGTTTGATAAACGTCTCTTAGAACCCGCTGTCTGTCTGCAGGAGAACATGTCCGCGTTCTGCGTGGAGACTCAGGACAGAACGCTGGTGTTTGCTGCTTCAAAGGAGGACTGTGTGGACTGGGTGGACAAACTGTGTCTCTGCAGCTTCCAGGTGGGTTTACACCCGTTCCAGTCCTGCAGGAAAGACCCTGACCCAGTCCTGAGACAAACAGTCCCAGAACAGGTCTTCTGTTCTTTAAACTTGAGCCCAATAGAGACAGTTGTCCTCCAAGGTTTTAGGTTGTCGTCCACTGGTTCTGGTCTGACTCAGGGACCACAGAGGGACGGTTTGGACTCTAGCACTTATTTATTTGTTTGTTGATTAAAGAAACGAAGACTTCTTTTTCCTATAAAGGCGCAACATTATGGAACTTATTGCCCCCACATGTAAAAGCTACGTATACCTGAACTAAAAGAGTTTGTTTACATGACTAAATCTTGGCTAAAGGAAAATCAAAGGTGTGATCATTTTAAATACTCGGATTTTATGGATGCAAAAGTCTTTGTGGGAGTGTATGTATTAGTGAGTTAGTATTATATTTACAATTTTTAGTATGTTAGCTGAATGTGCACGGATGGGGTGGTATTGAGGAGGTGCTATGATATTTTTGTAAATTTGTGGGTTGCAAAGTTATGTTAGAATTTGTAGAGGAAATTTTTTGTATTTTTATTGTATTTAGATTTTTAAATTGTTTGTATTTCAATGTATAGTTTTTATTATATGAAATTGGATGTTGTTAGGTTGATTACATGAATATGTAGACAGGAGTATGTAGGTACTCTTACTGTATTTTGATTAATTGTTTGTATTTTAATGCGTAGAAATGCCCAACCAGGGACTGGAGTTGTGAATTAGCTGTAGCTATGTACTCTTTGTGCAACGCATCAGTCACAGACTTGTTCTGTTCTATGTTTGTGTGCACTGTCCCTGTCAAACTAACTAACTAACTAACTAACTAACTAACTAACTAACTAACTAACTAACTAACTAACTAACTAACTAACTAACTAACTAACTAACTAACTAACTAACTAACTAACTAACTAACTAATCGTACATTTTTTACTGAATTTAAAATCAAACTCAGGAGGGAGACGAGTCAGGAGCTTCTTTTGTTTCACTCACATTCAGTTTGAGCTTCTGTTTGTTTGTTTGTTTGTTTGTTTGTTTGTTTGTTTGTTTGTTTGTTGTTTCCCAGAGAGACAGTGGTCCAGCTGTGAACCAGTCTCACATGGAGGAGAACCAGATCTACGCCTCGGCAGATGAAGGTAGAGCCTCTCTGGTTCTGTCTCCGTCCTCTGACCTGACCTGATTATTGATCCCCTTCACACAGATTGGATCCAGTTTTTATTAATAAAACATCAAACCCTCATTAAGGACAGACGTATTTGTCCCCACGTCTCCCTGAACCCAAAGTCTCAGTCTGTGTTTGGACTCAGCATACCAGAACAATTTGGGTTTGGTCCTTCTCCAACACAACATGACGGAACTTGGTTGCACGGGCCAAGAAGACACGATTACCTGAGTTCTGTGCAGAACTGGACCCTGTCCACACGAGTCCTGACCTCAGGACTTCAAGGAACTTTGGACTGAACTAAAACCAGACCTTCTGGTCGACATCAACACCTGAGCTCTTAAATGCTCCACAGAAGGAATGGGCACCAGTTCTCTCAGAATCACTCCAACATCTGGAGGGAGGACTGAGAGCTGATGGACCAGCTCCATCCAGTCCTGCATGGCAGGACGCTCAGGCCTGGACAGATACTTATGTCCAGAATGTCCCTCATGAAACCAACATCCTTCATTTTTTACACAAGTTTAAAAGAAAATTAACTTTAGTCTGAGTTAGTTTGAAAGCTGTGATTGAACAAAAGTTTTCTTTCAGCCGATTGTTTCTCGTTAATGGAAACTAATTAAATTTGTATAAACTAATTTAATTTTTATAAAGGAATTAAATTTATATAAACTAATTAAATGTATTTAAACTAATTAAATTTATATAAACTTATTAAATTTATATAAACTAAATTTATTTAAACTAATTAAATTGATATAAACTAATTAAACTGATATGAAATGAAAGAAAGGAGGGGTGTTCTGATTGGTTGTTGATGATTTTTATGGTAAAAAAAAAAAACTCTGAAAGGAAACCAAAACAAACCAATTTCCTTGATGTTAATCTGTTTGCATTTATTTAAACCATTTATTTAAAAGTACAGCTCTGAGTGCTGAGGACCCAGAAGACCAGCTCTGAGGGTTCTGGTCTAGGATTGATAGTTCTGAGGAAATCTTCCTGGTTCTGCTGCAGTAAAAAGTCCCATTATAACAGGAAACTCTGGTTTCAGTTGATGTTCTCCTCACATGCTTTCCAGGCTCTGTAGAAATGTCCCACAACGCACGATCATCTCCCAGGTTTTCATTTCATGAGAACGTTCTCTTTTTGCTCTCCAGCTTCTCAGTTCTGGGTGGTGGTCCAGAGAACTGACGCCGCGGCCCGATGTGGCCTGCAGGGCTCGTACTGGCTGCAGGTGGGACCAGAATCCCTGCTGCTGAGAGAAACATCGAAGAAGACGGTTGTCAGTGAGTGGCCGTATGAACTGCTGAGGCGATATGGAAGTGACAAGGTAGAGCTTCCTATTGGAGCTGACCAGTTTCCTGTTTTAACAGACCAGCTTCCTGTTTTAATAGACCAGCTTCCTGTTTTAACAGACCAGCTTCCTGTTTTAATAGACCAGCTTCCTGTTTTAACAGACCAGTTTCCTGTTTCAGCAGACCAGCTTCCTGTTTTAACAAACCAGCTTCCTGTTTTAAAAGACCAGTTTCCTGTTTCAGCAGACCAGCTTCCTGTTTTAACAAACCGGCTTCCTGTTTTAAAAGACCAGTTTCTTGTTTTAACAGACCAGCTTCCTGTTTTAACAGACCAGCTTTCTGTTTAACAGACCAGCTTCTTGTTTCAGCAGACCAGCTTCCAGTTTAAGCAGACCAGTTTCCTCTTTTAACAGACCAGCTTCCTGTTTTAATAGACCAGCTTCCTGTTTAACAGACCAGCTTCTTGTTTCAGCAGACCAGCTTCCAGTTTAATCAGACCAGTTTCCTCTTTTAACAGACCAGCTTCCTGTTTTAATAGACCAGCTTCCTGTTTGAGCTGTTTTATTTCTCCTTACTACTCTCTTCTCTCTGCAGCTGGTTCTGACCATCGAAGCGGGCCGGCGCTGCAGCTGTGGACCTGGAACCTTCTTGTTTGAGACCCAGCAGGCCGATCTAATATTCTCTTTGATGAAGAACAACATCAAACGGAAGACTTTGCCTGTCGCTTTGGAAAGCCAAACCAAAGAGGGGGAGAAGGTTCCTGCAGTCAACAACCGGGCTCATTCCCCCATCCCCAAAGTACCGGACCGGACCAACATGACTTCCATACTGGAGACCATCCCCAGACCTCAGGACAGGAGATCCCTGGGGTTTGATGATGGTGGAAAGCCTCAGGAAGACTTGATTGGTCCATCAGAAGCTGCTCCTGCTCCCATCACTCTCATGCCCCTCCCACAGATCCCCACTCATCACAACAACCAATCAGAAGCCATATACGCCAAGCCAAACGTCTGCGACCTGTCTGATTTAAAACCCAGACCGACCACAGCGCTATATGTGGACCCTGTTGATGTTCTTCCTCTGAAACCGCCACGGTCCAGAGAAGCTGATGCTGCTGGTACCGCCTCATCAGAAGCCAGCCTGAACTCAGACGTTCCAGATTCAGTTTATTCAGAGGTCTATGATAAAATCATTAAAGACCAGAACCAACAAGAACCCCCACTGAGGGCAGGGAAACCAGCAGCGGAGCCCATCTACACCGAACCCATCAAAACAGAGAAAGGGTCTGAAACCAGAGAAACCCCCAAACACGACCTGTTCGCCCACCTCTACGCTCAGGTCTGCAAAGCATCAAGTAAAGCCTCAACAAGCATCAGCACCGCCTCCTCCATGTCTGCTTCACCCTCCGTCACCGTTTCCCCGAACAAACCCACCGAGGGACCTGTGGACGACGTCATCTACGAGAACCTGGGCATCATCTGAAGAAAACGTTCTGAAGAACAGCTCAGCCGCTGACGCCACGTTCAGAGCTTTTAATCTTTAAAAGAACAGACGAGTCAACGTTGAAGCAGTATTTATCCTTGATGTTTATTAAAGTTACAGCTTCTGATCATAAACAGATCAACAAATAAGTTTAATCCCTGAAAAGTCTTTGTTCAACTAAATCACATAAACATTGTCCAGAGGAAGCCAGTTCTACTTTCAGCTGTTTGCACATTATGCTCTGGGGTTATTTTTGTGCATGAACTAAAATAGTTTAAAATTAACTTTCCAGAAAACAAATATTTGACAACTGTGACGCGTGATGATAACTTCTGCTGCAGAAACCTGTTGTATTTTTACAATCCAGTGCTTTCAACATTTGATGCTGAACTTTTACAGCCAAAAGAGATGCTTTAATTAGAGACGCGATGGTTGTAGATCTGAGGCTTCAAGAGAGGACTTCTTTAATTTTCCTATACTGTGATGTAAACTGTGTTATGTACACCTGAGAGTTCACTTTATTATTACTGTGGATATTATCCTGCTGCTGAAACATTTTTAATAAAAAACTTAACAGTGCTGTAATATTAATGTTTTTATTCAAACTTACTGACCGAGCTTCACTCCAATTATTGGAGTTCTGTTAAGAATATTTAGTCTTTTTTTCATATTTCCGTACTGACTGCACTGGTGGAAAAGTTCTGGTTTAATTCTTCTTCCAGATTTTCCCTCTTCAGAGGTCGCTACAGCTAGTCCTCCTTTCTCACTCTGTCCTCACTCCAACTACCTCCATGTCTTCTCTAACTGCATCCATATATTTTGTCTGTCTTTTTCCTGGCAGCTGTGTTTCTAACATCCTTCTAGCAATGAACCCACTGTCCCTCCTCTGGACATGTCCAAACTCACTGTCCCTCCT